ACAAGTAAGTATCATTATAAATTATTATGAAATACATCAGCAATCAGTTTAGTATAGAAATCCAAATTGATTTTAAAAGTTTATATTTATAAAATCTACAAATATTTTGTTTCAGAAAAAAATTTACTTTTTTTTTTATCTATACAATTCAAGATAAGTTGAAACATATTTAATAAAATAATACATTGTTATACTTGCCATTTAATTAAGTTTAATGAAAAGATTAATAAAATATAATTTAAAAATGTTATTTGATATTATAAATATATATTAATATTAACATTAATATTAAAAATAATATAATAAATTTAAAATTTATTATAATATACAAATTAAATATATAACATACATATATATAATTATAAATATATTTATTTTTATTTTCATATATTTGATATATTTCTATTATTAGGAAAATCTTGTGGAAGCAAAACATCATAAACTGGCTCGAAGTTTAAGGAGTGGTGGTCATACCCGAGAATTAAAACCAACTTCAAATGTTCGTGATGCTTTAAATATAATATTAAGTTACCCACCAACAACAGCACTCTCTACAGAAGAACAGGATCTTATTTGGAAATATAGATTTTATTTGTCAAATCAAAAGAAAGCTTTAACAAAATTCGTAAAATGTGTAAATTGGAAAGTTGCTGGAGAAGAACGGCAAGCATTAGAAATGTTAGCATTATGGGCACCACCTGATCCTGAAGATGCATTAGAGTTACTTGGTCCAGCATTTACACATACAGCTGTTAGAAGATATGCTATTACTCGACTTAATCAAGCACCTGATGATGATTTAATGTTATATTTGTTACAATTAGTACAAGCTTTGAAATATGAAGATTTTGAAAGTATTAAAAGGGCACATCAAATATTAATAAAAGAAAAAGAAACAGAAAAAGTTGAAAAATTGGATAGAGATATACAAATTAATGATTCTTCATCTATAGCTGTAACAACTGTAAGTACTTTTATAATATAAACATTGAATTTCTCTAATTTATTACAAAGATAATTTATTATATAGATATGCATTATTTTCAGTCTAGTGAATCTGAAAATGGACAATTTTCAATAAATCAAGATTCTCTTATGGATTTAGCATCTTTTCTGATTACTCGTGCATGCCAAAATACTACTTTGGCTAATTATTTTTATTGGTATCTTTCAATTGAATGTGAAGATCAAAGTGATCCATCTATAAGTGCAAAACAAGATACTCGTGTCAAAGAAATGTATAATACTGTAATGTCAATGTTTTCAATGATGCTGGCACAAGGAAATGCTATTTGGCAAAAAAGGAGAGCATTTCTTTTACATCAAAAAATATTTATTGATCAGTTAGTAGCATTGGTGAAAGCAGTCGCACGAGAAAGTGGAAATCGTAAAAAAAAGACTGACCGATTGAGAGTATTATTAGCAGATCCAGATCCAGCATTTAAAATTAATTTTTCGAATTTTGAACCAATACCTTTTCCTTTGGATCCAGAAATTTCTATCAAAGGAATTATACCTGAAAAGTATATAATTTCTTTTATAATAATGAATATTTAATTTAATTTAATGAATATTTATATTTTAATGATTTATGCTATTTTTAGAGCTAGTCTTTTTAAATCAGCTCTCATGCCATCTAAATTAACATTTTTAACAATGGATAATAGTGAATACATTGCAATTTTTAAACATGGTGACGATCTTAGACAAGATCAATTAATTTTACAAACAATTGCACTTATGGATAAGTTATTAAGAAGAGAAAACTTGGATTTAAAACTTACTCCTTATAGGTAAATATTTTTAAAACAATTTTTCGATATATAATATTATTTAAAATATAAATTAATTTATATTTTAGGGTACTTGCTACAAGTACTAGACATGGTTTTTTACAATTTATTGAATCTACAACAGTTGCTGAAGTTCTAGCTAGTGAAGGTTCTATATTAAGTTTTTTTCGAAAACATCATCCATCCGAAAATGGTCCTTATGGTGTTGTACCTGAAGTTATGGATACTTATGTTCGTAGTTGTGGTAAGAAAAATATATATTTTTCTAAAAGAATTTATATTAATTTAAATTATATATAAGTAAAATTTCAGCTGGTTATTGCATTATTACATATGTGCTTGGAGTTGGTGATCGACATCTAGATAATTTACTTTTAACAACATCAGGTAATTTTTTTTATAAATTTTTAAATTATTTAAATTATAAAATTAATAAATATAAAAATATAAATAATTATATAAATATAAAATTAAATAATATTTATATTTTAGGCAAATTATTTCATATAGATTTTGGTTATATTTTGGGTAGAGATCCAAAACCTTTACCACCACCAATGAAATTAAGTAAAGAAATGGTTGAAGCTATGGGAGGTGTAGGTTCAGAACATTATCATGAATTTCGAAAACAATGCTATACTGCATTTTTACATTTACGTAGACATGCAAATTTAATTCTAAATTTGTTTTCGTTAATGGTTGATGCTAGTGTTCCAGATATAGCATTAGAACCAGATAAAGCTGTTAAAAAAGTTCAAGACAAATTACGATTGGATTTGAGTGATGAAGAAGCAGTACATTATGTACATAGTCTTTTGGACTTATCAGTAACAGCTGTAATGGCAGTATTAGTGGAACAATTACATAAGTTTGCACAATATTGGCGAAAATAAAATCAATCGAAATAACGATTGTAAAGATTGTGTTCCTTTATAATTATTGCAAATATTATTATATTGTATATATAAATGGCCATACATTTATAAATGTAACATAATTTATTGTATTTTGGGATTATTTTAGGTAATAAATCTTTGATAATAATAAAAGATAATTATACTTTTTATAAATCTATAAATTACATACAAAAATTTTTAATATTTAACATGTCATGTGATTATAATAATAAAAAAAATTTGTTACTATAATATTACATATATAATATATATATATATATGAATTATATACTTCAACAATAATTTTTAACAATTTTCATAAAATATAATATAAATATAAATATTGTTTGTTAGTTTTTTTGAAAATATATTTAGTGAAAATTATTATTAGTGAGATTATTAAATTTATCGGTAAAAATTTATTGTAATGGGATAATTTCAAATAATAAAACAACAAAAACATTTATTGCATATATAATTTTTTATGTAAATATTTATGTATTTATTTTATCTCTTAGTTACAATCGTGTATGAGGTGCACACTGTAGAAATAAAAAGTATTGTTAGTGATGAAAATATCAAATTGTTATCCATATAAGAACACGATAATGCTATTTTAAACACTTTATGCCACTTAAATTTGGTTACTTCAATGAAGCAATATATTTCAAGTTACGATTGTATCAGAAAATTTTAATAGAAAATGTAATTATATTTCCCTATTTCACAGTATTATATACTATTTATAGGTACAGAAATTTTTATAATATATTTTTTTGAGTGAAAAATATATGTACACGTGTATTTATCTATATATCGATTAAATTCAAAAGCAACAAAAAAATTCAAATTCAAATTCAGTCCATCTTTGCAATTTTACCTGACTAAATTGCTTTTTTTTTCAAATAAGATACATATATGATAGTTAATAATTTTTCATAATAGTAACATAATATATACAAGCGTGATCATGATTGAAAACGCCGCGAAAATAAGAATAAATTTATTTTTGATAACATGAGTTTATAAAGAATATAATATAAATGTTTATATTAGAATATGTTGGCAAATCTGTCTTGTTTGAGACTTACATTGTTTTTTTTAAAAAACATTGTTTACTTTAAATTACACATCAAAAACCATTAAAATACAAATTCGTTAAAATTGCGATATATAATTGCAATTATTTTACATAAATAAAATGATTTTGTTCATAATAAAATGTTTATTTTTAGTAATTATACAAATATTTATTTTAAAATTACTCCCCTGTAAATATTAATTTATTTCAAACATGACAGATTTCCTTATATTAAAATCTTTTATCTTTTACATTTCATCAGCACACGGATTACACATTATAATTGAAATAATAGGCTTCTTTATTTCTCATAAATGTAAACTATTACCTACAAATAAACAATGTATGTGTAATAATTCAATCCTTAATTCGCTCAATTATCTACATTTGTGATTATACATAAAGACCTTTTTCAGCAAGTAGTTTATGAATGATGAAAAAAAACAATGAAAAACTATTTTTAAATAAAGCCCAAGAAACTGATTATTTAAATTTTATAAATATTTTGGAACGTACGTTACTGGTACTTATTGAAGATATATTGTGCATTTATTTTAATACGTTTATTACGATTTGTCATTACGAGTAGTAGTAAAATTTCATTGAATTATTTTTCCTGATTCAATTTTGATTATCTTCAATAAGAACCTGTTATAATGTACAATTATTTAATAATATTTTTTTAATTAATAAATGAATAATAGTATAAACATATTTTTATTGCAAAATTAACAATAATTAACAAATATTACTACTACTCCAATGACTTTTTACAAAATTTTACAATATATATTGTACGTGCATTGTATTCGAAAATATGTAATCAATTCGTTATATGACAAAGTATTTGTGTCCATTAAAAAAAAAAAGTTATGAATGATAATCTAATTTAATATATCGATGTGCTTATATTATTTCAATATATTAAACAAGATGAATATATAAGATCATAATATTTTTTTAATGAAACCATAATTTTTCTTTTATTAATTACACTGCTCACATTTTAAATTTTATGTACGGATTATATCCGTAGTTGATACATATACACACGCACACACATATTGTGATATTCGTGCGTATAATATATATATATATATATATATATGAATGTGTATATATATGTGTGTTGTGTATATATATATATATATATATATATATATATGCGCGCGCACACACATATACACATACATACATGTAGCACATATATATTTATTTATATATATATATATATATATATATATATATATATATTCATATTTATATGGATATAAATTATAATAAGAATCTAATTTTAATCTTATATTTAATCACTTGTCTTAATATTATATTTACATTGAAAATAGACGAGTTTATATATCAATGGCTGTTATATCCATTAGTCTATGAAAACAAGGACTCTTCATATAGCGAAATGCTATTTCGCATCATAATATATTACCTCTCTGTAGGCCTAGTGGCTGGTACAGAACTTTCTACAAGATCATGCCTCTCTATTGGTGAATTCTCCAATGTGTAATCAACTGGATACCTTTCTGTATATGTTGGTGTAGCTTCTCCTTGTTGAGTTAATTTTAATTCATCAGATTGTTCTTGATAAAAACTTTGTGATGCCTCAATATTTTGTGAGGAAGATTGTTCTGATTTTTCTATATCATCTGCAGAATAATAACTTTGACTTGCTTCACTTTCTGGTCTGTGATCATAATAACTGGGAGAAACATTATGACTGGAATAACTTGGTGTAGCTTCTTCTGGATTAAAATAACTTTGACTTGCTTCTTGTGGATTACCATCATAATAACTGGGAGTAACTTCTTCTTGTGGATCTTCATCTAATCTTGAATTGGTTTCTTGTCCTACAGATTCATAATAACTTGCTGTTACTTCTTGATGATGAGTATAGTAACTAGATGGTTCATTTCTATGATCAGTACTTTCTGTAACAAAATTTTGAGAGGGAGTTTCTTCTAGGCCAGGCATTGAAATTGGTACTTCATAAGATGTTGATACATTTTGTTCTTCATAACTAGATGTTGGTATTGAGTCTACATGAGTTGAAGTAATATCTGGATTTAAATTATATGAAGATGTAGGTATTTCAGGTACTCCATTGTCATGGATACTTGTATGTTCTGCACTAGATGATGCAATATTCAATTCAGCACAAGGTGGAATTTCACAAGACGATGTACTTATTGCACTTTCTTGATCTGGATCTCTTTCTTGATTTTCTGGTGTTTCTGGAACATAAGACGAACTTGCAGTTTCGTCTTCATTAAGCCCGGAATTATTTGTAGAAATTGAAGATGTACCAATACCATCTGTACCTATATCATTAGATTGAGATGGCATATTTCCTTCCTGACTAATTTCTGGATCTGTTTCTAAATTTTCTGGAATATTTTCTGGTTTACCAACTTCATAACTCTGTGTTGGAAATGTTTGATCGTCAATCGTATCATCAATAGTTGATCTTCCTTCTTGAGTTTGTATTAATTTATTAAAAGATTGAGTTGGTGCATTTGTACTTGCTTCTGCACATGTTTCATATGATTGAGAAGCTTCATTTATTTTTGTTGAATGTTCAAATGATTGTGTCGGTGGTTCTGCTACAACAGCTTCTTTATCTGTTTCCATAGATTCATATGTTATTGATTGTGAGGGTTCCCTTGAATTTTCAGATTTTATAGCAGATTGACTAGGTAAATCAATAGAATCAGTAGTCATTGCTATTCCAAGTTGTTCATATGATTGTGATGGTGTTTCATGACTAGTCTCTGCATTTGTTTCTTCAAAATGTAATTCTAAATTTCTTCGTATCAAATTTGTTTCACCTTGAGAAGATGGCTCATCTCTTTGAGAGTCCTCTGGTTCTTTTATTGTATTTGCAACATAAATTTTAGGTTCAATAGTCTCATCTATATCCATATTCTGTTCATCTAAACGATTTAGTGATTCTGCAGGTAGAATTTGTGCTTCTTCTTGAGAAATTTCTACTTCATTAGATGTTGCTGTTTGTTCTTCACATATAGGAGAATGATTCTTGATATTTGATTGCTCATCAAAGTTTAATTCTTCAAACTTTTTTATATTTTGCATCTCTTGTGAATTATTTGTATTTATTTCATTTGAATTTGAAACTTCAAAACCTACATGTTCTACAGATGAAGTTTTTATATTAGATTCGGAAGTAACTAAAGTGTTTTTATCTATTATTGATACATTATTTGTCATTGCATCATCTGGTTGCTCCACAATTTGTACATGTACTATATTATCATTATTAATTTCTTTATTTTGACTTCCGATTGCTACATGAGAATTGTTATCTCCTTTAGTAACGGTTTGTTTCAAGATCATTTCCTCTGACTTAATAGAAATTTCTTGAGAAGAATACACTTCTTGTAAAGGTATTGCATTCTGTTCTTCATTTAAAATACAAGATTCATTTGTAGATACAATAGATTCTTGGGAAGATGATGCAGAAACATCATGAGATACTATTATTTCTGATGTTACGTTAATATCTTGTGAGTTTACATTTTTTTCGGAAATAGGTTTTGAAACGAGCATTTCAGAAACAGGTACATCTGCAAAAGTCTGTTCTGTTCCTATTGATGATTCTATAGTTGAATTGAATTGTACATTTTCAGTATAAGAATCATCTATTATTGGCATTGAAGGAGTAGTTTGAACTTGAGAACTTTGTAAAACTATATTATTTGGTATAGAAACTGAATATGAAACATTAGTTATAGAAATAGTAGTATTTTGTTCACTGGAAGTTTCTATATTATCTTCTAAATTTGGTAATACTAGATATTGAGTGCTTGCAGGGATTTCTGTTCGAGCAATTTCTGTTGTATTTGGATTTTCCATAATTTCTCCAATATCTGGCATAGAATTACCAGGGATTTGAATTTGTGCTTCTGCCGTTGAAATATAAGAAATATTAGGATTTGTAATTGTTATTGGTAATTCGAGCGAAGATGGAATTGTTGCCACAGCAGAAGTTGAGGTTGATTCTGCTTGTATTGGTAAATTACTAGGTACCTCTAAGGGAGTCATTATTGGTTGATTCAAAGTCAATGAAGTTTCAAGTACAGAAGGAGAAGAAATAGGTTCTGTAGGAGGTATAATAGTTGATTGCAAAATAGTTTGATTGATTAGACTTGTTTGAGTCAAACCAGTGGTCATTACGTTTCCGGTAGGATTTTCTGTTAAATTGATTTCTTGTTGAAAATCTGTATTTGCCAAGGCAGCAGCCAAAATATCTTGATTTGATGTTTGTATTACTTCTGAAGTAGGAAAACTTTCTGATATAATTGCTTGAGTAGATTCTGTAGCATTGGTTTGTATATTTGGTAATACAGCACTATCAAATTGAAGAACAATATTGTCTAGTGTTCCTGCTTCTCCTAATGAACTAGGATCTATATATAATGTTCTTGTACCATCTGGATTTTGTGTAGTACCTTCTAATGACATAAGAGTATTATTATCAAGGGGTTGTATTTGTCCTTGTTCATCAATAGTTACTAAAACATAAGTTTGTGTTCCATCATTACTTTCTGTTGGTAAAGCCATTATTTGTGGTTGTGTTGTTACTTTTGGTTCTTCTATTTTTTCTATTTCATTAGCTTTGTCATTAAATTTTTCTACTTTCGGCTGATCCTTTTGAACAGATTCAATAAGTACATTTTCTAATTTTGATTTCCTGTCAGAATCAATAGGTTCTAATGGTGGAAGAGATAAAGATGTAGAAAGATTTGTATTCACATTAGTCGGAGGTACTGAATTCATTGGAACATTTAACAAATTTTTTTGTTGCTGTGTAGTAGTTTTATTTATTACATGACTTTTTGTAGTAATTTTTGTAGTTGTAGTACTACTAACTGTCTGTTTTTGTTGAATTGTTGTTTTAGATGTATTTGGCACAGAAGTTAATGGTACTGTTTGTTTTGACTGCATATTTTGTACAGTAGTAATGATAGGATCTTGTACTTTTTGAACAACTATTTTTTGTTGTGTTTTTTGTTGTCGATTACCACGAGGTATAATAACTTTTTGTATAGTTGATGTAGGTACAGCTTTTCCTTTTTGTTGAATTTGTGGATTTATCCCCATTGTCTGTTGAGTATTACCTTGAGATGTAATATTTTGTTGCACAATTGTTTGTTTAATCATTTTCTTCCCTTGTTGTATAGTTTTCTGTGTAGGAATAGTATTTTGTAATACAACTGTATTGTTACCAGTTTTAATTTGCCCTGATTTTCCTTGTGAAGCAGCAGACATTGGAAGTTTTTGTGATTTTTGTAACATAGGTAGTTGTACTTTTTGCTGTACAGATTGATATTGTACTTTATTTCCTTTGGATGGACTTTTTGCTGCTATAGCTTTCACTTGTTGTCCCGTTATTGGAGTCAAAACTGTTGCTTTACTGCTTACAATACCTTGAGGATTTAAAAGTGTTTTGCTAGTAATAGCTTGAGATATAGGAGTTAAAATAGCTTTAGAAGTACCTAAATTTTGTGAAGATAAAATAGTTGTACCTTTTGTAACTAAAGTTTTTGATCCAATAATTTTTCCGCTTAAAGAGGCGCTTATTGGTGTATAAATGCCTTTTGTAATAATTCCTTGAGACAATGTACCTAATAAAGCAGATTTTGCAATTGTTCCTGAAATAGGGGTTAAAACTCCTTTTGATGCTATCATTCCTGGTGTATTAATAATCTTATGTCCAGCAGGAAGCTTAGATGTTGTTGCTGAAACATTATCTCCTTTGGGAGCAATGATTGTTTTTGAATTTATAATACCTTGAGGACTGATAGGACAAAATACTTGACCTTTATTTGTCATAATTCTTTGAACTTTACCACTTAATGATTTAGAAATATTTAAAGGCAACATTTTAGTTTGACCTGATTGCGCTAATATAACTACTTTACTACCTTGTTGAACCTGTACCTGTGCATTTCCAGCACTTTTACCAGTTGGTATAGCAATTTTTTGTTGTGTACTAGTTTTTCCTTGAACACCATATCGTAACTGTTGTCCTCCAGAAGTTTGCACCACTACATATTTACCTGATGCAGTCTTTTGTGTTAAAAGAGGAGATACTTTATTTGTTGCTGGCGTATTTTGAAATTTTAAACCTTTTACACCACCTGTAAGTGGTGGTACTAATGTTTTTATACTTGTAATTGTAGGTTTTGCTTTAGTTTTGTTTTTCAAAATTGCTGGAGTACCACTTTTTTTCTTTGTAGGTGATATTTCATTTGTAGTTTCATTTAATTTGTATTGAGTTTGAGTGGGAGATACTATTTGTGTAGTTGGTGTAAAAGATAATGTTGTTGGGATTGTACTAGATGCAGGTATAATAGAAGATATAACAACAGGCATTTGTTCAATACTTTCTGGAGTTAAAACATCCTCACTTAAAACAAATGGCATTGAATTTATATCTAGTTCCATATCTGCCAAACTTTGTGAACTTTGTTGAATATATTTTTCACTTGTAACAGTTGTAGTAGGTATATTTGAAACTTTTACATTTAACTGTTCATTTTGTGCTTCAATCATTGCAGCTGTTTCTGCTTCTTCAGCTTTCAATACTTGTAACTTTTTAGTCAAAGATAAATGTGGAGATGTAACTTTTGGACCAGTTTTCATTTTGGTATTTGAAGATAAAGATTCAATCTTCATAATTTTTGTTTTTGGAGTACCCTTTTGATCTGATCTTTTTGTATTTTCTATTTCTAGTTTATGTTTTATTCCTTTCTGTGGTAATTTATCTAATAATTTCGATTTCAAAATTTGCAAAGGTTCAGTTAATGTAACGTTTTCAATTATTCGTGGCATTTCACGTTTTTTTACCGGTACAGTAACATCGGATGATGGAGAAGGTGTAGAAGTCGATGTTCTTGAAGATTCATCTAACTTTTGCATATCTATATTAATAGATTTAGAAGTATCTTCAATTGAAGATGATTGTACTAAAGATTTGGATATAATGTTAAATTCATTTGATGATGATGATGATGATGTAAATTGATCAACATTTTGAAATATAGTAGTTTCATCTACTTTTGTGTCAATCTCAAGATTTTGATCAACTACTACTTCTATACCTTCAAAATTGCTAACAACTGTGATTTGAGAATTATTGTCTTGAGATGAATTAGGAAAATCTGAAATATTTGAATCTTTATTTACCACATTTTGAATTGCTTCAGAAGTACTTATATCTACTTCTTCTTCAGTTTTTTTCTTCATTAATTTTTTACACTTCTTTCCCTTTCCAATTGTATCAGGTTCATTAATTATACCTTTTCTTTTGTCCATATGTAACGTTTTTAAGAAAGCTTCTTGGAATGTATTTGTTGATTTTTCTTCAGGAGATAATTCTTTATCTTTCTTTGATTTAATACATGTTTCTGGTGTAAATTTTCCTTTATATCTTGTTTGCATAGATATTCTATTTTCAATTTGCTGCTCATTTAATGTATTTGTTAGATCTTTAGATAATTGTTCTAATTTAATTTCTTGTTCCTTTTCTATTGTTTCTATTTCTATTTGATGAATTTTTTGAATTACTGGTATAGTTTCTCCTTCATTTTGTATTATAGTTTCTTCCTCTATTTGGTTTATATCTTTTGTATTTTCCATATTATTTATGTCTGTTTCAAGATTTTCTAAAACGTGTCCTTTCTGTTTTAAAGAATTAATTAATTCTAAATCTATATTAGTTTCAATTGTTTCAGTATTTATATTTTGTGATTTTTCTTGCTCACTATTTAATCCAGAATCTATGATTTTATTTGTAGAAGTATCAGTATCAAACATATCAATTTGTGATAGTTCAAACTTTTTTATTTGAGACTTTTTAGGAGGAAGCATTTCAACAGTTTTTGAAATATCTATTTGTTGATGAAAAGATGTTTCTTTCTCTGATAAAAATTCTGATTGAAGTGTAGATGAAGATTCCAAATCTTTTAAATTTTCTTGTTGAGGATTATTTTGTATTAATATATCTTTAGTATCATTATCTTTTTCAAGTTTAAGAATTGTATTTTCAGCTTTAACAGTAATTTTTTCTATTACTAAAGATTTTGTATTTTCAAAAGTATTAGATTCTTCTAATAGAATTTTTTCTTCAGTTGATACTTGTAATTTTTTAGAAATTTCAGTAGAAGTTTGATTGTCATTAAGTTTTGTGTTTAATTCTATAAACATTTCATTTTTAGTATTTTCAAGTAAATCATTTTTCACTTCTATATTTGAAGAATTCACATTATTTTCTGTTGTATCCATTTTATTACAAGAAATTTCAATTTCTTTTTCTTCTTTAAGATCAATGTTTTCATTTATTTTCTTGACATTTTCTATAAATTTTTTATTTCTTTTTGATTTAATTTTTATTTTTTCAGAATTTTTTTCTTCATTTTCAGATTGACTTTCATCAGTCTTATATATTTTTTGATCTACATCTTGTATATATATATCAGATTCTAAATATTTTTTATTTGGCTTTCGTTTCCTTCCACTATATGGACGTTCGCTATCAGATTCGGAAGTTCTTTTTTCTATTTCAAATTTTTCAAAAACTTTTGGACTATTTTTATTATTTCTTGCTTTTGGACTTTCACTACCACTAGCACTTCCGCTAGTACTAATACGATTAGATTCTGATTTTCTTGGTCTACCTCTATGCTTACGAATTTGCGAAGTAATATTGGATTGATCATTGTTTAATAAAGTATTTGTAGAATTTGAATTAGGCACTTGATCTTGATCCAACATATCTGCATCTGAATTTTCACTTTGTTCTGGAAATGTTTCTGTAGATTCTGAAACAGTTTCATCTTCTGTTTCAACTGTGAATCTATCACATAAAATTTCTTCAGTTTGTTTTGAAGATTCGTTTTTTATGTTTTCTATATTTTCGTTAATAGAGTTTTTAGAATCTGGTTGTTTACTGCATATAGAAATATTTTGTATACTTAAATCTTTGCTTTCTATTAATTCTTTATTAGTATTTATATTTATTTTAGCAGAATTTTTTGAACCATTTGTAGCATTTTCATTTTCAGCTTCAACTCTTTCAACTTCAAATATTTCTACAATTTCTAATTCTGTTTCACAAGTATTGATATTAGATTTTTGTATTTCTTTTGATTCTTTTTCAGATTTAGCTTTTTCTTTTGCTTTTTCAATTATAGTATTTGTCTCTTTATTATAAGTTATAATTTTGTTTTCATTTTCTTTTAAATTCTGCTCATTTAAAGATGGCAGTGTATTTAATTTTTCACATTGTTTTGGTTTAATATTGTTATCTTCATCTTCAGGTTTACTATGTTCAGTTTCTTTTTCTTGTTCTGTTTTTAAGGCTTGACTCATTTCAAATTCCTTTATTATTTCTTTTTTTTGGTGAAATGCCCGTCCTTTTTTTCTTACAGGAGGTATAGATAGTTCCTCTTCATGAAAATCAAAACAAGATAATAATGATTTTTTATCATTTTTATCTGATGTATTAAGTTTACTTTCATTATCAACATTAAAAATTTCTTTTTCCGTCTGTGATTTATTAATAGATTCATTACTTTCAATATCAGATATTTTAATATTTTTCTCTAGCTCAGGTTGTTTATCAAAAAGATTTGATTTAAAATTTTTTGAAATATTGACATTTTCTGATAAAGAATCCTCCATTATATTAATTGTTGTAAGCTTTTCAGTTTCTTTAAGTAATTTTTCACTTTCTTCTATAATTTCATTGGTATCTGTTATTGTATTATTCTTTTCATTAGATTCTTCTGATTTTTTAAAATCAAATTGATCTTTTGGTGAATTATTTACAGATGTTAAATCAATAGATTTACTTTGATTTAAACTAATTTCTTCATCTGATTCATCTTCCCAATCTGCCAATATGGTATCTCGAATTTTAGGATCTGAAGTCTTTTTCTTTTTAGCAACTTTTTCATTTTGTTTAATTTGTTTTCTTTTACCAGATTCACTATTGCTTTTATTTTTATTTGACTGACTCTTTTCTTTTCTTGCATATTTTCTTTTTGGAGTATCTTCATCAGAATATCTGCTTTTATATTGAGAATAAGTTTTGACTTTAGATTTTGATACTGGTGAATTTCCAGATCTATGACTTTTTATATGACAGATAATAACATTAACTCGTGAAGAAGTAAAATTACATAAATGGCAAGGATATTGTGGAGAATTACTTATATTTGGTGTAGATTGTAAACTACTAGGTTGTTGACGAATTCGAACTTCATGATCACTTTCTCTTAAAAAACGTGGATGTGTAATTTTTCGCACAATTTCAATACTATCACTTTTTCTGTGACTTTCATCACGTTCTCGTTTCTTTTTAGAAATTTTCTTATCCCCAAATAAAGCTGATATATTTGGTTTTTCTTCTGGACAAAATTTGTCATGACTTAATATGTCAGGATCACCTCCTGTCAATTTTTCAGCCATTTCAACATCTCCAGGAAATTTATCCATATATCTGGAACCATCTTTACTTCTGCTTCTATATTTATCTGCAAGTAACATTATAAAATATATAATTACATGTAATAAATTTTTTTGAAAGAAANAATAATATTAAAATTGTTATTATTTATGTATAATCATACCTAAACCTTTCCTGATAAATTCATCTTTTAGAGTACAGTTATATTTATAAATCTGTTGATAATTTTTGACAAATTCACTGAAACATTAATAAGATATATATTGAATATCAATTTAAAACAAAAAAATTTAAGTAAAAATTAAAATAAATAATAACTTAAATATATAATTAAAATAATAATTTAAAAATATTGAATTACTTACTATGTATCTTCTTGAAAAAATTTTACAGCAGCTATTAAAGGTTTCTTTTGAAATTCATGTTGAATATCTTCAGGTAAATTATGAAATCCAGTAACTTGTCCTGGCCACCAACAACCTCCAAGTTTTACCCAAACAACATCTCCATCCAAATAATTAATTTCTGTTTGTTCGCACATTTTAGAAAGATATATTTAAAATTATTCTTTCACAAAATCAGCATTGAAGTCCAACATAAATATCTTATATATTTTCTGTTTTTAGATGAAGCACCTTGTGTAATTAATTGTTCATATATGTTTATAACAATAAGAAAAAATTATTCTATGATTGAAATCTAATTTTAATATGCAGTAACAATAAATGACATTATTTCATTTAAGAAAAAACATGATTAATATATATAGAAAATCATATAAACAAATGCAATATGCAATTGCCAAATGAATGAATGATTCCCTTAAGTTTATAAAAACTTTGTAATTATGTTTCTTTCATTTTGTAAGTTTTTAAACTTAAAGCACATTGCTTAATCAAAGTACTTTTGATTTCTTCATATATAATATTATTAATTAGCATAAATATGAAAGACAACGTAGTCACTATTAAATCTTCTAAAGAAAACATTTACTGATCCTTAATTAATATGTTCTTTCAGATCTATAATTGCACCATAAACATTTTTTCAAAATCATTTACCACATATTTTATTAGAAGTACATGAGAAAAATAGATAATACGCTAGCAAATTGTCGTTGTTTTCATGTTATGTTATCTTGAATAAAGTAGTAATCATCCGTAGTATATAAAACACAAATATTTTTTTTTTAAATAGTCAGCTAACTTATAAGCACTGTTTGATGTTTCAAAATACAAGAAATTGTTCACCCATATGCGCGGGCATATGTAAAAATGGAATCGGAGGTATATTCGCGGGAAACCAGGAGCGAGCGTCGCTCCCCTCGTCCTGCACCGCTTCGTTGATTCTGATCTCGATGCCGACGTTGTCCGCGGGAGCCACGTCGGGCATTTTAGCCCGCGAATTCCTTGATTGAATATCTTACACAGATGTATACCGTGAACTTTACAGTTCTCACGACAGTTTGTTAGTACGACGCCGCAATAGAATCCTATAACTCCGAAATTGGCGAGCGTCCCAAGAAAAGAAGTTTCTCTTTTCACCTCACCTCTTATCACTCAATCACAATACACTATAAGGCTTCGCAAACACTTTGATAACCGACCACGCGACGTTGCTGCGCGCACATACAGCCGCGAAAAGTGCAAGCCAACCCCGAACGAAATCGACACATTCAACACTCTACGTCGCTTATACGACGTACGTACATGTTCAGTTTCCCGACGTGCAACGGGGCTTTGTACGGTGGATGGATGGATGTGTAGATGGATACTTCCTTCTCTCTCGTTGTTCGAGATTCTCGATTCCGCAATGTTACCAACTATTACATATCTATTTTCTCTTTTAAGCTTCGTATTCTATTTTGATAATTTCTACAATTTTTTAATAAAGATAGATATGTATATATTATATTAACATATGATAATAATAAATATATATATTATTCATTTAAAAAAATGTTTTATTATATATATAATAAAGAAATAAAAATTATATAAAATTGAAGGTTATAAGGATTTAAATACTACACATTCATATATATTTCTCGCGGTTTGTCATTTTAAAATGCTTTATTAGTGCATATATTACCATTATATATATATAAATTTTCAATATATATCCATTGTTCCATATGAGATTATGTTAAATGAATTGATAAGAATAGTAATTATTGAATAAATTTTTAATATAATAATACCAAATATTTTTATACAAAATCAAATTTTATATATATATTATATTTTTATATCTTTTTTTTATACATATTATATAATTATTTATTTTACATTTAAAAAATAGATTTGATAAATAAATAAAACATTGGTAAAAATTTATTTTGTATTATTATAGTTTAAGATAATAATTGTGATTTCAATATGCAATTAAATCAAATTATATTTTTAATTTATGTAATATTTAATTGATGTAATATTTGAATTTTATATAATTAATAATTTATAATTATCTATATATATTTACAAATGTAATATATATTAATTATATTTTAATTTATATAAATATATAGTTCGTTATTACATTCAAATTAATTTAAAAATCAAAATTTTTGTTATATCATATAATTTGAAATATAAAAAAAATTTAATTAATTAATAAATAAATTGAAAATTATTTATATCATAAATCTGATAATATTTTTCAATTTTTTAATAATGTTAAGTCTTTAATATATATTGATAAATTGTAATAAAATTTTAAAAAAAATTATAAGAAATTGTAATATTTGAAATATAAAAATAATATTTTGAAATATAAATATTTTCTTATTTTTATTTCATCAGTTGGTCTTACTGTGTCGCCGGGTGAGTAAGTATAATTTCGATAATATTTTCCGCCAGAGGCGCTGAAGATTTGCAATAACGTTTATTGTTCGTTTCCGGTTTATGTGGTAGCTTAACGTCGTTCTTCATTTTTCGTTATACATCCGTTTATATACGATAAATATACACACGTAAGTCATTTGTACTATATTACATCGTTTTCTATATGATACACGATATAATAACACACAATCTGACGAACATTAGAACTTTTATGACTATAATGATACCGGAAGTTCTGTAGTTTCATTATCAATACATATGTATATTCAGAGTTCACAGAAATGGCGACTGCCGTGCCGTCGAGATTCGCAATTCTCAGCATTGATGATGATGATTGTAAGCCGAAGAAAACCCAGAAGAATGTTACTACTGGTAAGGCAAATCAAAAATCTAAAACCAACAAATCGAAACAGCAACAACAACCAAAAAAGGATGATAAGAAAAAACAAAATAAGGTATGATGTGTGTAGTCTTTGTTGTTTTTTTGTTTTTGATTAGCCGGTAAATGTCATAGTATGATCATGGCGGGATTTTTATGTATTTCGAATTAAACTTGAATATTGATTTTAACTTTCAATGTAATATTTAGTAAATAATATAATATATTTTATTATATAATTTTAATATATTTTAAAATATATATAATAAAAAAATGAATTTTTTAATATTTTATTTATAAAAAAATAATTGTTATGTAATAATAAATAAAAATGTAGAAGATATTTTGTTTTTATTTTTATTATTATTTTTTTATTTATTTTATATTTTTTCTTTATTTATATAGGGAAAAAAGAAAAAACCCAATAATGAAAATCAACAATGGGAACAATGGAAACAGAAAGATACAATGGTAATGTATAAATTATTTACAATATCTTATTTTTATTTGCCATTAGCTTAATGAAATTTTTTTGTAACTTTAATAAAATAAGTTTTTATCTGGACATTTTCATACAATGACTCCCAACGAATTGTATGTAATAAGGACAGCACAGGCTTGACTAATATGTGTGAAAATTATAGTTTAGTTTAAGATATAAATTTTAAAGCTAAGATTTTGTTTCAGTAGTGACATATTTATAAGTGTTGTGTGTTATCACGTCCAATTGTGATTTCCTTAAGGCTGTCGAGGAAACGTTTGAGCAAGAATTACATCAAGCCATCTTACTATCAAAGTTGGCTTATGAAGAGCAACTAGTAAGTGCAGCTAGGTCAGAAAAAGAACAAGAGTCAAATAAGAAATCAGGGAAAAAATCAAAAAAGGCTACTATGTCATTGGAGGAATTCAACAGTATGGGATCAAATACTACTACTCAAAATACAGTATTACCTCTGGAATGCAGTGATACTAAATCAAAAGGTAATTTTATATTTTACTGTAGATATGTATATAAGATAATAAATTTAGTTAGCTATGATTTTATAGATTTAGACACAGAATTTTTTGAAAGAGTGGAGAAAGAAACAAAAGAAGAAATTACAAAAGAAAAAGAAAAGGATATGTTGAAGGCAAGATTAAATAAAATTGATGATGATATTACATCTGCACAATTAAAGGTAGAAGTGGAAAAACGTGATGAAATTATTAATGAATTAAGAAATCAAGTAGAAAATTTAAAAGAAGAATTAACACAAGTCAAAGAAAGAAATAAGAAATTGTATCAAATATTGTCTCATGGAGAAAGTAGGTTAATAGTTTTCTTATTGATAATCTAATGTTATTGCTATATATTTATTAATATATATAATTTTATATATTAATATATATATATATATATATAATTTTATTATAGTATTTTCTATTATTATTTTCTTTTTTAGTGAAAGATAAAGCGTCAGTATTAGCCGAAGTAGCAAAATTGCAAGAAATACGAGATGAATTAACGTCGGAAGTAGCATCTTTACATGCACAATTAGAACAAGAAAGATCCAAAACACGTACTTCTAGTACTGATGTCAAACCATCTAAACAAACTGTAAGATTTTTTTTAAAATAATATTTAAAAAAAAGTAAAATTAATTACATATAATATTATATTATAAAATATATTTATTTTTTTAGAATAAGAAGAGGCCCGCTAGTGAAAATGCCTAAACAACAAGATTATTTCTGTTGATTCTAAAGTACTAAACCATTGTGATCTATAAAGCTTAATTTACTGCTAATGATTAATCAGTTAACAGTCTCAAGACTGATTCATAATCAGTAAAACTTAAGATCTCATGAAAATACATATATTATATATTTGACTTTGAAGCACATAAAACAATTTTTTAAGTAAATATTTTTTAAACACATAGAATGTTTACTCAATGAAAACATGATCATATTTTTCTAAACTGCATATTTTTATTTATAATTCGAGTTTCATTTCATCATAATAAGATACAAAGATGATAGTTCCCCTTTTATTTAAACTCTCTTATACCGTAATAGTTAAACTTAATTTCAGTCAAGTTTAATCAGGAAATTAGTGCAAAACTACTTTCAATACTGAAACTTGACAATATAAACAAGTATCGTTATCTTCCAAATTTTGTGCGGACGTACATTAGTGAGTATATATTATCTAAAGTATTTTGTAATAAATATATTCTACAGCATTCTTGTTGATGTTAATAATTTCCTCAATATTTTGTTAAAGTGGAATTAAGATATTTTCATATTGTACATTTTAGAAGTAATAACATTTTATTATGCGTGAATATTCGTAAATACAAGATATTAAAAAAATTTTTTCTTCTATGAGACTGAAACAAAATTATATACATAAAAGTAAAATTTCAGGTTCTAAATGTAAACCATATTTATATACTATTATGAATGTATTAAAACAAATAACGAAAATATATTTTTCTCACAAAATTATATTCGACATTTAAAATTTATTTAACAAACTAATAAAAAAATTTTTACTTTAATATTATAATTTATGCTTATTATATGACATATATAACATTGATTCTATTAAAAGTTAATTATTAATATGTTTTTATCGAACTTTTAAGTTTAAATAATAAATATTTATTTAAGAGTTGATATTGGTCTTTTTTATATTAAAATATTATATAATAAGAAAGATCAATATATATTTATTTTATTTTTATTTAAAAAAAAAATATAATATAAAATTATTATGTATACAATGATATTTTCTCTACATATCTTTTACAATCTTTGATTACCATCATTTCTATATACCAATTCTGTTTTTTTTTTTTCGCTAGTAACATAGCTATTCGCGCGATGCTAAGCTTTATCCGGATTATACGTACTGGTGCATTTTTATGGAAATTTTTTGTTCATTTTTTCTGCCTGGAGTTATTCCAGGCAAAATTTTTTTTCGACTCGCTCTCCCGCTAGCTTCAACATTCAGTTCGATATGTTATACCTCACGTTCCAATTCTTTTTTCCGGCTTTGCTCCATTCGTTTCCGAGTTCACATAAAAAAAGAAAGAAAAAAATGAGAGAGGATTTGCATGTACCATGATAAATTTAAATACACATTATATCTTTGATTAAAAAGAAGCTTAAGAGGATAAGGAAATAAGTTTTTATATTTCTTTTCTTTTTAATATGCAAAATATAAACAAAAATCAAATATTAATTATCTATTAAATATAAAATTGAAAATATTAAAGAACAGTCAATTATATACGTTTATGAAAAAGTATATATATTTTATAATTTATAAATTAAAAAAATTTTTTATAAATTAAAAAAATATTACGTTTATTTGTTAGAAAATTAAAATAATATATCGAACTTGTAAATTAATTTTGTCAATTAACATATATGAAATTACATTTAAATGAAGTTCTAAAAAAATCTTTTTATAAACAAATATAATCAATGATTCGTTTAATTTTTAAAGGAAACTAAGTTGGAGGAACGAGCATCTATTCAGCTTTTGACTGGAATCTTGACCAATAAAAGTGGCATTAGCTCTAAGCGAACGCCTCGTCTATAACTCGGTCATAGTCCTGTTTGCTACAAGAATAAAGGGTGGAAAGTATAAGGAATATAGTTAGTGAAAGATACGACTGAAGATTAAGTAAAAGTTATATAAATATTTTTCATTGTTTATTAACAATGTATATGTAACGATATACCACCACAGAAATAAAAATAAAAGAAAATATTGAAAAAAGCATTACATACTAAGATAAAAAAGAAAAATTGAATCGTATTAATTATGTAATAAAATATAACTTTATTACAATATATAATATATTTACAATATTGCGATAATATTTATTTAAAGAAAAGAAAATAAAAAAATCATGTAATTATTTTTCTATAATTTACATAATTTAAAAGAAATATTTAATATAGATATATATAAGTTTTTTCATTAAATTTCTCCATTATCTAAATTACCATAAGAAAAATATAATAAATAATTAGCTTTATATTTTTCATGATCGATTCGATCAGTCTAATTTTTTGCAGATATCGATGCAGTTTGAGAAGAGTTTGTTCTCCGATGAGTAAAAGTTGATGGTTTCGAAGCCGTCGCTGCCGAGAGAAAGGAAACTTGCGAGAAAAAGATGATTAGAGGAAGAGAGAGAATGGCAAAGGGTGGGTTTTAGGACGTGGGATGGTAAAGGGGGTGACAGTGGGGATTCATTATCTGACAGTCTATTGTCATTCCTGCGGGCTGAGATTTTGCTCGGGCCAAGAGCAGCATCTCTGGTATATGTCTGTATACATACTATACATGTATATGTGTAATGATATGCGATATCTGCAATCGGAAACGCGTTTGAAAAATCAGACATTTCCTTCGGTTCTTTTTCGCCTCGTATCATTACGATACGTTCCGAGGTCAAAGATCCTCTGTTGGATCGTTTATTAGATTTTATAATTTGCATGCAAACGATTTTTATATTGGTAATAAAAAAAATGAATACTGTACAACAATTTTAATATATCAAATTTGAAATGACCACCAAGATGCATGATCAAACATAACCGCCTTGAATATTTTATACAATGTATACGTGTTTTTAAAAGAAATCTTATTATAGAAAATCGTGATCGATATCCGAGATTAACGATATTTCGTTGAAATTATATTATACAGTATTATGATTTTTCGCTGGAAACTGTGTATATGCCATACATATTCTACGTATAAACATGATTTTGTCACGGTATTGTCGCGGAAAGAAGAAATTTCATATTCAGATATGAAGACAGCGGCCTACATTCTTTGTTTTATTTTAACAAAAGTAAATATATCCGCGGCGCGCGAAAAAGACGAACGGAAAATTAATCCAAACATTAGGCAGGAAAATTAAGGGGTGCGAACAAGGGGTTGGCACTCGTTATTACGATCTTATTCATCGCGTGTATCCACGGTGTCATTAACGCTCCCACGAATGTACTGTCGTTCGCGATATGAAGTATCGTCGCCTATGTCGGTCCGCAACAGAAAATTAAGACTAACGAGGAAAGCGTTTCTGTATCGTGAAATGGAGGGAGATCCTCCTTCCTTCCAGGCGAAAAAGAAGTTTCACGAAGACGATCTCGTCTTTCCACCAGGGATAATGAGATCCCAGCGACGCAAGCTCGATCGCGCCCTATCATTTTTCACTACTGATCCACCAAAGTATCTAACTCTCGGTAACATCGCGATCCTGCGTTTATCTTCTGTATTTCCCTCCCTTATTTGACGCTGATGTATACCGAGTCAACAATTTCTTCACTTATCCGTTTCTTCGTTCATCGATATCTATTTGATTCGTTGTAATAAGTTCGTTAAAAATTTTTCTCAATTCTTTCCTATATTTTTTCCAGTTGTTCCTTTTTTTTTTTTAATGTAAATTTTATTTCTATTTGGATTAAATATATCGATATATCCGAACTAGATCAAACGTGATAAACGTGTTTGGAATTAATAAATAATATATATGTATAAATTAACAATGATTTTTAAAATAAATCCTAAATTAGAGGTAACTGTTTATAGTCAAATAAAATATTTACTTTAACAATATAATATTCAATATCGTATAAGTGTCGTAATTTGAAGTTTCACGTTCGACATTCATTTAAATTCATTGTCAAAAAAAAAAAAAAAAAGGAAAAGAAATCAAATTCGTAGATTGCAAATTAATGAATAAATTAATAGAATAAGCAAGTCCCAATCTCATCATCATTTTCATGAAACATCCTTATCTAAAACAATCATCTTATATATACAACCCAAAAACATTCCTTTGCTTTCGTTACTTCATCATTCGAAACTTCCATCCCCCCCTTACGATCCATCGATTCTCACGAAAGAAAAACCATCGACACGAATCCGTACCCTCCTCGTCACTTTCGCGAGATCAACCCTTCTCAACCCAACTCGCCTCCCCCCGGAGGGAAGGGGGTGGCCCCCTGAACGCGGAATATTTTTACATACGGCTTAACGCGAAAGCATGTCACTCATACGTGAAACGATTAAAGTTTTAGAAGTATCGATTCCGTTGGCGTTACCGTTGACAGACAGAGGGATCGTCAAAGAGCATAATAATTACTGCGCCCGCAGAGAAGAGGCTCAACCCTTTGTTCTATAGTCACTTTGCGAAAGGGGCTGCGCGAGGAGGCGAGGGGGGGGAGGGAGGGAGGAAAGGAGGGAGGAGGGGGACGCGGGGACGCTTTGGGGCGGGACAGGGCTAAGGGGGCTCGGGGCGGTGGTTGAAGAGCATCCGTTTCAGTCGCGCCATTATGTAATTGATCTGGGCTTTCCGTACGCGATGATCGTGTAATGCGTTTCACGTACTCGACGCGCCCGATTCCGCATGGATCCCTTTCTTTTTTTCTCTCCTTCTTTTTTTTCTCTTTCTTCCTTCCTTTCTTTTTTTTTTTTTTTTCCTCCTCTCTCTTTCTTCTCCTCCTTTCCTCTCCACCCCTTTTTCTGCACCGCCATCCGCCAAAGCCCCCCGGAGGCGGAGGAACACCGTTACGCCGCGTGGATAGATTAAAAGGAGCGCGCTGGCAAAGGTGAGAGTCGGTGGACGGTCAAAGTCGATACTCGTTTTCGTATCAATGCCGCTTTTCGAATGGATCGCGCTTCCTCGAACCGTCGATAATTTTTGCTAAAAGGGAGATTTTTTTTTTTTTCCTCCTCTGTTTCCGACATATTCCGAGAGGACACGCCATACGAATATTCGAGGATACTTAGATACGAAGATCGAAATTATTTTTGGAGCGAAAAGTTGATGATGAACGAGACTTTTTTTTCTCTTTTGGATTCAATGGATGGCAATGCAATTATGATAAATAATGGTAAATGAATTTTACTATTTTTGTTATTAGATTCGAAGAGTGAGGTTATTATAAAAATAAATACAAGTTCAGCAACTAGTATATATTAATTAATTATGTATAAAGAAATTATATACAGATGTTAAAAATAATTATCGATGCTTGTAAATAAATGTGGAAACTGTTGTTGTTACATTATCTATATCTTTCGTATATTAGCTTAATTAATCAATTATTTATATCAATGTATATGTCAGATATTGAACTGGTTTAAATACACTTAATTGATGAAAAAAATGTGACCGAATGAGCGACTATATCTCTTCAAGATACTGTTTTCAAACGATTCCGTAGAAAAAAAAGATCGTAGAGATTTCCCTTGTTACATTTCAAACTCTTTTCCAAATATTAATGATCTCTGTAATGATCACAGCAACGGATTCTTAATTTGATTTCACGTAACAAAAACGATGGTATTTA